AAGAGATAAAGAGTTCTAGAACAGAAAGAATAGACCATTCATTACGCGAATTAATTTTCGAAAAGCGTTATCTCGCGCGCGCCCGCGCACTACGCATCTTTAAAGCGTTCTTCCGGCGATATTGAGCGGCCCGGTGCCGCCAATTTGCAGTATTTGCACCAATTGAGACGAAGGTGCTGCGCAGTTCGTCCAGTGGCGTCAATCGTCTCACCTTGCCGGACGTGTCGGCTGTCGCACGTCCCGGCGCCGCGGCGACGACCGGATTCCACCGGGTTCGCGAGTTCCTACCTCGTGGCGCCTCGAAGAGATCGGCTGGGATGGCGATCGAGATTCCCGCGCGCGAAAATGCCACTCGCTGGCGGTGGCAGCGGCACGCGTTCGCACGCAAGGGACGCACGTGCGCGTACGAATCGACGATCGAACGGCGCACCGCCCGCACTCGTCGGCCCCGGCAACGCGAGACCCCGACACGACAGCACGCGGAAACGACGAGGATGGAGTGATTCGGGAGAGGATCGATGGCACGGGTAAGTACGACGTTGCATGCGTTTACCTTCCAATTTACCGTAGCGAGACAAAGTTTCGAGTCGGCCGTTTGCCACGTGGCATGTACTTCAGGATTGGTGCACGGCTGCATTCATTTCCTACTGATGATTTCGTGCTTCCGACCTTTCTGTACTCTTTTTCTCGGAAATTGCTCTTCCCTTTTTCCCCTCAATACTCGAGTGTGGATGACTTTTGTTTCGAGCGAGGAAGATATAACAACTGCTCCTGCATTTTTTGGGGGGATTTTTTTTTGTTTATAGAATGCATCTGGAGCACTTTGAAAGAGAAAGAAGGCGAGAGAACGAGGTGTAAAAAGTGCAACCGTAATATATTTGAATTTCTTGTGCATTTTTTTAAATTTTAAGATCAAGATAAAATTTGGTGGACCCAACAGATAGGAAATCAATCAAACGGTAAATTTTAGAGACTTTAGAGAAATTTTACAGATACTGCGAAATAAGTTCGGTAAAAAAATATATCGGAATTAGTAATTAATTGATTATGAACGTTCGATGAATATTCATTCTTTTTTAATTGTTCAGTTGAGTAGCGATTATTAAATTAACTATTGAAATTGGAGCAAAATTTTCTAAACTCCGAAAGAAGAAAACGAAACTAAAATTCTTATTCATATATTACATTACACGCTGATCGTACAAAATCACGTGTCCGTTTGAATTCTTTTTTCAGCCACTCCTGTAAATAATTAATCACATAATCATAGGTAATTATTAATCGACAAAAATGGAATAAAATTGAGGTACGAATAATTACATGTATTCGTAATTTTGCCAGAGATAACAGTGTATGAGCGTTTTTCATTCTCGGGCGAGAAAGAGCTCGAAATTGAATATCCATATTTAGCATTGCACGTAGCACGGAAGTGTAGGGAGTACGATTAAAAAACGAACAGACCCGGGGATGTGAGTTAGCACATTTCAGCCGCATGTTCGAACGTACGAGCGGACCGGCCAATCACGCGGCTCCGTCGATGCCACGTTGCCGCGCGCAACGGCCACGGCAGGCCAATCGGAAGGGAGGGGAGGCGCAACGCCATCTCTGCGCGACTGGCGTAAATACTCGAGATTGACTCGTTTCAGCCGCGAGCCGAAACTCTCCTCGCAGCCGTCGCCATGTTTAGAAGTGCGTACGCGTCCTTGGGCGTGCGGTGTGACGATGTATCGTAAAATATTAGATATAGCTCATGCGCCGTATGTTACGTGAGGTACCCAATTACGAGTTGACCCACGCGGAACACGGGTGTGACGATCATTCCCGTGGATGGCGCACCTACGTCGCGGTAATTTGTGATTACATTATGGTAAGTCTTGGTCCGTCTCGGGGCCAACGCCAACATGGCGGACGGGAGATTTCCTTTGTATCGCGCCGCGCCGCGCGGCTTCCCCACCCATCGGCGCCGAGCGTCGTCGGCGAGGTCGTTTCCTCGCGTGACGCCCCTACAACGCCCGCGACACCGGACGCGCGCGACCCATCGTCTTTTCGCGCGGCTCGTCTCGCATTTACGACGTATTTCGTCACCGGCGCTCACCTCGATATAGCACATCGCTCTCTCGATTCACGCACGAACGTACGACACTCAGGTAGCCCCCTCGAATCTTCGGAATGTTTCAGTTTGCCGGTTGACGATAGTCGCGATGACAATCTTCGTCGTCCTAAGGTCTTCGTGGTTTCTTGATTATGTCCTGTCGTCGTGTACATTTTAAATTTCGCAAATGTATTCGATCGCGGAATGTGTCTACTCCTTTTTTTTAACACAAATCATATGAGAAACGCCTTTTTTAAATTCGCTCTTTTTCTTACATTGTCTTGATCCTTATAAACGATCAACGTTTTCTTAGAATGAACAAACTTGTCTAGTAGGCCGTAGTTGCTATCGCTTCTTTGTGTCGTTTAAAACTTTTCTTTATCTTCGTTGTTTCCTTCGACAATTTGCAATTAAATCACGCGGCTATTTTGCAGGTGCTCTGCGTATTCTCGAAAGAATTTAAGTTGACATTAAAAAGTGCGAGTTTATTAAAAAGTATTTCTATTAGAATTTTCCTTTTTAATATGCATATTCTTCTTCTTGTCTTATATGAATATTTTTATGTTTACTTTCATTGTTTTTCTTTGCCAATTTATAATTATGTTAATTAAACAAAGAGGTTGTGTGCATTTTATATATTATTTAAAAAATAATCTGTATGTGTGTGTTGTGAATTGTAAATGTACTGATTTAAATAATTATTTTTTTTTTAATATATGTTTATTTATATATAACAGTGAATGTATTATTCTCAATATTGCATACATTACAATTTTTTTCCTATATATGTTTTATATTTATATTATTTGATTATTAGGAATACCTATTTTGAATGTATATATTATATATTATAATTATTATTAAAGGGTTTTTTTAAAGGGTATGATTCTCTACATTACTAGTACTTTCTTGTTTTTGTTCTTATTTTATTAATAATTAATAATCTTTCAGTTTACTTAATAAAATTTTTTAATTGGATTAAATTTAGATTTTATAATATTCTTTAAACTTTAAAATAATCTTAAAAATTAAATGTGTCGAAGGAATTAGAGTAATAAATAGAGCTTGTTCTTCCATTAAAACTGAAATATGCTTCCATGTTTCCAAATTGAAAAGCAATAATCGAATATTTATGAGATTCAACATTTGAAATTATAATATTGTATCAAAATAAATTAATTTTTTATTATTGAGAAGGAATTTCTTTAAGAAGTTTCTGTATTTATGTTTTGTATGATAAAATATGAATTTTTATGCTACGTGTCATTGTGAGTTACTGTAATACAGTGTTACTGTTATTTTTCAGCGTAACGTGCAATGAGTGATAAACAGGGTGTACCTATTTTACCACCCCTTAGTCGGGGTGCGGCTAATAATGGCGGAAATAACGGAAGTTCAGCTCAACAGACTGTCAGTCTGCAGCAAGTTCTCGCTACCGCTCAAGGCCTCAATGTGCTTGCTACTACCAGTGGGCAACAGTTTGTTATTACGACTCAGGTTCCTGGTCTCACACAGGTGAATGTTTATGCTTGTAATTAGAATTTAACTGCATACTGTGTTTCATGAAGTAATATATGTTCTGTACATTCTTTTGAATAGCAAAAAATGATAAATATGAGATATATCTTTTCTCTTATCTAGCTTTATCATTTGTAATATCTTGATTAATAATTAATAATTAAATCATAATTGATGAATTTAACCTCTATTATTATTGTTATTTGTTAATTATTAATAATGCTTAATAACTGTGATAATTGATCATTAATTAAATAATAATTGGATGTAACGATTCCTGAAGTTTATTTTAATCTGGATTATTTTTATTAAATATTACTGATTATCAAATCATGGATTTCGTCATAATTGTACTCCATAATTTGTACATATTTGGCATAATTCTGTAATAAAAGGATCCCGCACTAATTATATATATGTATATTCAAATAAAATTGGATCCTTATGAAAGGAATTTTTATGCATAATTTAGCTTGTAATATGGTAAATAAAAGATATTGTAGACACAAGGCTCAAAAATAGATTGTTTTTACATTATGATATTGTATTGTTAAAGCTACTCTATGCACTTTTATATCTTTGATACTTCATAATTAAAAAATTATCCATTATTGAATCTTGTGATTATAACATCTTTTGTTACACACATTATAAACATTAAAACTAACTCATTTTATTTCAAGATTCAATTTTCCATATAATTAATACGGCGTCCTTTCTTCTGCTTGTGTGAGTAGTACTTATGAACTTTTACTCGCAGGTCATACCGAATAATGCTACAACTAACGCGAGCGGAACGCAACAAGTTACAAGGATCGTTAACATCGCGGGTACACCACCGCGCAACGCTGTCGGAATTGTTGGCACGTCGCCTCCGACAGTGTCACGGCCACAGAACTCTACTAAGCTTATGTTGACAACGTCGCCGAAACTTGTACGCACTTCCATAAGCAATGTGTTTGTAGCACCAACGTCATCGCAGGTATCATCGCCGCAGGTGCAGGTGCAATCGCCTTCACCAGCGAGGAAACGACTGAAATTATCGGAAACGACGGAGAAACCGATTCCATTTGACGCCAGCGACTGTCGTAGACGAATAATGGAACATAAAATGCGGCGGATGCGCAGCATACGTGAGAAGTATGCGGAAAATGCATCGGAACTGTTCTTTCTGCACACCGGTGGCAACATGATGGAGTATTATGCCTGGCGGAAGCGATCTCCGACGCCGCAGTTAGTACACTTTCTGCGTCAGCATCGACTCGACCCGGATAACGATGACGAGGATCTGACTGCGCCACTGTCGTCTATACCAGAATTCTCGCAGCTATCTGCTGTTACAACTACTGTCACCACTACTACGACCGTCACTAGCGCTATTGTCACCGCTACGACCACTGTCACAACCGTCACGTCCGGCTCCACAGTGGTCCAAATCCCGAATCAAAGAGCGGAGGTTAAAATCGCTGGGGCGGGCGTCACGCCAGTAGCGGTGTCCACCACCTTGCCTGCTGCGGCTCTAGCTCAACTCAGTCAAGGTAATTATAAATACCCGTTAATTACGGCAACAAAAAGATTTAATTTTTTGTCATTACTTCTGAGCAATTATGATCCAATGTTTTCGTCAATACGTAATACATTCAAACTGGTTGATATTTCATTAATATATCTGGATGGAAAAGATGTATCATTATAATGTGTGAATATTATATGTTACATTTCATGAGCAAATCAATTTGATCTCAGATCGAACTGTGATAAATGTTCTGTTAGCATCCATAAATATTTCTTGAATTTTAATAGCGAAAATTCGTGTTCTTTTCATTCAGTTTTAAAGTTCAGTTCATTCGTATTTTAATATACAGTCGTGTTCCTCTATTTTAAGATGTACCAAAGAATTCTTTTTTATCCTAACATCTTCCTTTGATATCTTTTAATTTGTGTAAAATAAAGAATATTTTTTGTCTTTTACTCATTTTCTCACTCCCATGCAGAGAAAAACTTATATCAGATAAAGGAAAGCCTTAGAATACAGGTTCTCAGAATAGAGAAAATCGACTGAATATTGTTGCAGCTTTATTGGATCACGACGTCATAAGCGAAAATAATAATCCTGTTCTCTCACCCTATACGTTGAAATAGATACTCTTTCTCCTTCTACCACAATTCGTGTTCGATAGATTTGTAATTTGATTTATGATATGTAAACTTATGAATTTTTCAAAAATATGGTTTTATATAATTATGAAAAAGTTATAAATATACAATTTAAGCAATGAATTTCGAATTTATTTGAATACACATTTTTTATAATTAATAACTCATCTTTCTTGGATTGTTATTCTACCTATGTTCACTTATATTTTATTTAGATACATATTCTTTATAATTAAGGAGAACTGTTTTTCTTGAATTCTCACCGTTATTTTATCAGTACCTATATTATCTATCGTTCATTAATTAGTAAAAAAGAATAATAAATAAAAACAATTATAATTTAGATCCTTGTGTTAAGAGAATTCTTATCATTTAGGAAAATATTACTTGCAGAGTAGACAATTTTTCTCATTCATATTATACTTTAATTGAATTGAACGAATTGAAATTCGGCTTGTATACGGAATAAATGATGCACTTAGGACAAGTACCAGGTAGGCCTCAAGGGGGCCGCCATGGCATGGTATTTGCCTTCCGAGCGGCAATCCAGTCTTCGCCAGTCACCGTTCACCCTCCATCCGCTTCCACCGTAGCACCCACGTTCATTATAGGTGATTACCGCAGATCGCCTGTCGTTCGTTTCTTCGTATCTTTAAGCCGCTCCATATTGGTTTTGCTTTTGAGCAGTTTAGATACTACAAGTTCTTGTCATAAACGATTATTTTTACGCGTTATATACTTCCGTATTATACACATATGTTGTACTCTTGACTTGAACTATTGGAACGATGATCAGGAGAAACGCTCGCCAAAGAACTGTCTGCTACTAAAGCTGTTAAATTGATGTAGAACTCTGTACTGTCATCTTGTAATAACATCTAATTTTTTCATGCTATAACACTATACGTCCACTGTATGCCCATTCTATAGAATGAGTCAGACAAGTATAGCATGTTATGTAAAAACTACGATGATGTGGTGATTGACCTGATCATTATTAAGTGCAGACGCATGTTTTTTTATTTGAAGCTTGGTAAAAATAATATATGTCTCGTTATGTCATATACGTATGTACACATACATCTCGAATGCAAATGGAAACGATTTATTTTAATTGGAGTACTTTGGAAGTGTTTTCGTTTCTTGCTTTTAATTGTTGTCAATCGTATAGATACGTTTCTTGCCTGTCTGTGGAATTATATTGGCAAAAATATATTCTTCGTTTATCTATTAAATTGTTATTCGCGTAAAATGTATTAATATTTGTCTACTTTTGTTAATTCAAAATACAGAAGTATTTTTAAATATCGTAAAATGGGGTAAAACTTTGACACAAATTTTGAAAATATTTCTTATACTGTTGTTCAGCAGATTGTTCTTACTGATTTTGATCTAATGTAAATAGTAATATTAATTAGAGACTAACTTATAATAACTTATTTATATAATTCATGCTTTTGCGTATTTAAATAAGAATAGTTAATTGTTTTGATAACGATAAAAACATAAATGTACAACTTTCTTGAATATTATGAATTAAAAATTTCTAAATTCCGATAAGTATATTAATTTATATTTAAAGATTTATAACAGATATAAT